TCACGTAAGTATATAAAGCGAATTTTTCATAGAGAACAAGTTTAGACGGTCGCGTTCATGACCGGACGATATGTTGGACCACAAATAAGTTATCGTCAAATGCACATTAAATTAAGAAAACTTTTTTTTAATTATAAAAAGAAATCAAAAGCGCAATCTCCGCTCATGAACGCGCCGAGTATTAAAAGCGAAGTTTATTTAGATTAAGTAAAAACTAACAGTATCATTCCAAGTATATGCATTTACTTTGTATTGTTACGCTATGCAGTCAAATCAGCGGACTCTTCTTACACAATGAATCATCGAAACTGCCAAGATACGCTATATAGTGCTGCTTTTTTTATAATAGCACTTGAAAGAAAGAGCTCAGCGACTGATATTCTGTTGCTAAAAGAGAAACAAAATAAAAAGAGCATATCATCTTTCTGGCATACTTTATAAGATAGAAAATAAATCGACGAGAGAATCAAGTTTTGTAACCTTTTTGAGATTACTTTAATGCTAAGCTGTGAGTGTTCAAGCTGCCAATAAAAGGCCAGACTTTTATGCGAGTTTTTTTTTTGATAGAAAAAAAGGTAAACGGTTGAATGTCTTTGAGATTTAATTGGAGGGGGAAAATATTCAGGAAAAAAAAACAACTCGAGTTTAGATTTGTAAACGTTTTTGCCAAAGTAGAACGTAAGTCTACTTAGTATATTTAATAATGTATATGTATAATATAAGTGTTCCAGTTCGACAAAACTGTAAGAATTGTAAATTTCAAAGCACATCGTCATTTGTATCGAATGTATGGCAGATCATACTATGCCTTGCAAATGCGAAGATAAGCCATTACAGCGTGTCTTTTCATATTGAGTTTGCATTTATTTTTCAAGGATCATAATACATGAAACTAATAGCTTTTCAGCATAGAAGTTGCGTAGATGAAAACGGCGGTTTAATGTTAATTATTAATTTTAAGAAAATTGAATTTTGTAAATACTAAATTATTGTGGGTCTAGAAGAGCCATCCAAGATAAGTTAATCGAGTCACGAAAGTTCGAGAAAAGAAATTACATTATTTTAAGATCAACTTTCTTGTATTACTTTTGTCCTTTTTTTTTCTTTTGTGTTAATTTCTCCTATCATCTATGAAGCACATCTCGGATGCGCTATCATGGATAATTGAAAATATTGTTTTGAATTGTGTAGGTGTAGGTATTTAATAATGTATGATTGTAACGATATGTAGTTAATATGATTTTATGACTTGGACAGTGGACTGATTCAAGCGAGAGAACGCGATAAAAAGATAATTTATTACGAAGGTGCATTAAAAGTAAACTGCTGCCGCGTTTTGTTAGAATTTCAAATATATTTACTTTGTTTAGATGCTGTACCAGTTCACCGAATAGTTTACGATGTACCGTTGTTTAAAAGACTCGTTCTTGTGTCACAGCGTTGTGTCTTACACTGTGATATTTTTGTTAATCTTTTCTAGTATAAAACATAATTTTCAATTATTCGTCAGACCCAGCAAGTTGTTGATACTTGTTTGTATCTTGTTGCTACAATACACAAACATTGCAAAAAGCAAGTCAGATTACGTTTGTGCAACATTCCAAATTGAAACTGTATACGTATAGATCTTTTTTTAATTTGTCAATTAGTTAATCATAATTGTAATCTCCTTGCTCCAATATAGGAGAGCTGTGTAACAGTTTTGTAAATTACCGTTGTACAAAATCATGAAATACCACGTTTCAAGTAAACAACAATAAGTGGAAACGATTGTGAGGTGACTATTAATAACTGAAGCTTGGATCTATATTATTACCTTCTTAAATATGTAAAAGTATTGTGTGATGTATCGTCTATGTGTTACAAAATATCGAAGTAATAAAAGAGACAATTACTCCTTATTTCTTATTCAAGACTCTCATCTATAAATCTCCACAAGATTAAAAGAAAGCAGTAAAACGTTATAAAAAATTAATTCTATTTATTTAAATAAATGGACAATGTACAAGTTGAATGAATGAGTCATATTTTGTGATTCGGGTTTAGAAAACAGTCTTAAATATATTACAGGACTAGCATTAAATTAAGCTTAAACTTAAACTAGTGTTATTTGTATATGGAAGTATAATATTCCTCTTCCAAATCATATAAATCCGCAGCCATGTCGTCCCTCAGGGAAGCCAGTTTTTGATCACATTCTACTTGCTTAGTCCTAAATAATTTGCCGTTTTGTATTATGGCGTCGTTTACAGACGGAAAATCATTCAGAATTAAATATTGCTTTATGTCAGAGACTAATTTCATTAATGATTCGCCAGCACGCACAATATTAGCTGCTCTGACATGCATTTCATATGTATCTTGCTCGCATTGTGTCATTCGAGATAGTTGAGAGTCATTTTCTCCTTTTGCAAGTTTAATTATCTCTGAAAACAGCAAAAATAAATCGGAATTAAGATAAATATTAATAATTAATAAAAAAAATTAATATAAATCATGTTATCTGATATAAATCTTTTTCCTCCCAAATTTTATATATACAAATAGAGTTCAAAATTATACTTATATGAAATATTAAATATTACTAAACGCTACTGTGCTAATATTCTAATATTACTGCAGTATGAATTTTTATTTTTTTTTTAATTTTATTATATGACATAATTTACAGTTAATAATTAAAAATAATTTGTTTTTACGTTTATTTTTCTATATTACATTTTTAATAGTAATAACGTTTTTGTATTTTCATATTACGTTATGTTTTTAGAATTTCAATATTTCTATTCTACTACAATGATAATTTATTGATTGATAATCACAAAAATAAAGAGTCCTTTAAATTCATATATAAACTTCTAGATACGTTCTGAGAAATTATATTTAAAATTATAGAATTAGCTTCATTAATTGTTTGTCGAAAACATCTCGATTCATTCTTACTATCCAACATGAGAAATATTGAACGAATATATATTCCGGGAAAATATTGTACTGCAAAGAAACAGAAGCAAATTTCAAGATAATAGATTAAGTTGTGATACTTGGTGTCTCTCGGAAGAGATAGAAATTCAAATAATTGGAGCATCAAAATCATATCAAAGTGCAATAAGTTTCTTGTAGCTGCACTATATTATACTTTCTGCAGTTAAAGTATATATAATTAACCGAAGGAAAAGAGAAGAGAAAGAAAGAAAATTTAACTACAAAACCCAAAAAGTTCAATTACAAAAAACAAATTTAATTATTGGGGACGAAAATGCTAAAGACGTTTTGGAGTTACTCCCACCGGTTAGTAGCATTTTCTGCCTTCAGTCTCTTCTTGAGGTTATAGAATGCTTAGATACTACAATTCTTGTTATAATGTTTTCAAATTAACTATTTGATGTAATTGTAGAGGCGAAGACGCCTACCAAAATAGGTTAGGATATCTAGGCAGAGGTTAGAAAAGTACCTTCGAAATTTTCCAGCATGGACTTCACGTCGTCCTTTAACCTCGTCGTGTATGATTTCAATAACGCCTCTTTACTCTGAGGAAGTGCACGTTGTGTGGCCATTGTGTCGCACTAAAAGGGAATAACATGTGCAACACTTTCAGTGATAACAAGAAGGAACACGGCACGCACAAAAAAATGACACGCGAATTTCTCACAACGAAGTGAAAGAAATTACGGATAGAAACTAGAAAGGAAGGAGACGAATCTTGCGCATGCGTAGAGCAAATGATATATATATCACATATGTAGTATATACGCTGTTATATTTCAGGAACGTACTTTATTTATTGTAATGCGTCATCCATCATCTGCAATACATAGAGTTAAGATGCTATTTCATTGACTACAAAAAATTTTCAAACCAGTTTATGATTGTCAAGGATCTGTGCATCATAAAATTTTACGGCACAGTATAATCAAATTGAGATAATGCGCAGTTTTCTGATAGTTTGAAACTGGTTCGACTGGTATTGGAATAAACTTTTGATCTGAAATAATAAAAAAATAAAAACAACTCTGAGTTGAATAAATCTCTTGGTCTGTGAATAAATTTAATTTTTAAAAAATTAAGAAATATAATTAACAAAAACAAATTGTATTTATATGCATGAAACTGTAAAATATTTTCCGAAAAAAATTGACATTGGAATGCTAATTAAAAAAGAATTTTCCGTAATGTCAAAATGAAAGACAGTAAAGGACAATATTGGAAATTAAATGATAAATTTAAATTAAGTTTTGAAGAAATAAATAAATCTACAGCTACATAAAATAAAAGATTGTCCTTTACAATAAAAAATGTATGGTCACCGTTATAATGTGTGAAAAACTGTAAACTCGTGCGGAATCGTTTGTGGGTTTACAACTTTTTACGCAAAGCACGGTCCACATAGATTTTTAAATTTGCACGCACAAAGCGAGACTTAATTAAAAAAAAAAAAAAATTGATTTTAGTTTTACGATCGTGATTTAGGTTTACGATCTAACAAATTCGATATTAGAATCTCTCATATCTTTATCATCATTATTATTATTCAACTGCATCTTAATATAAAGGAATATTACAAACATTTGTGAATATTAAATTATTAGATTTCTTCTCGTTCATCGAAACGAACTTTCGGGAAGATCGACGAAAAAAAAAAAAAGAATTTTACTTATACTCATTTCTAAGGTAATTAAATAAATTTTAATCTCCATTTAACTTTACTCTTCATCCTTTTCTTTTTAATTCTTAAAATTAAAAAAAGATAAGGAGCAAGTTAAACCTTAGAGATTAAAGCTAATCTATATCGATCAGAAATCAGAATTATTTGCACAACGCGATTGTGACTCAAATCACCCGCGCCATATTGATTTTCACACGAATGACGAAGGCGAGCGCCGTTTTCATGGAACCATCTTTCCTCGCCCTCTCGAGCCCTCTTACCCCTGCTATGTTCCACCATATCCTACCCCACTCGACTCCCTGTTGACCCTCTAGCTAGAGGGTTGAGAATCGATATGAATACGCCCGCGAAGCGCGGTAACCGCTGAATCTCTCCGCAACTACGCAAAATTCCCGGTGATGCGAAGGCAGAGCCAAAGCGTGCCCTTGCGCGAGACCGGCACGGGACCACGGCGGAACGTACGAGGGCCGTGAGCCCTCCCCCAGTCCCCTCCGTTCCACCACCGTTCCTCCAGCGATTCGCGGGGTGACCGCGAATCGCTCTCCCTCACGCGCCTGTCCGACGCGGACGGGTATCGAATCGGGCTCGGTCCCGATATATCTCCAGGGGGGTGGCCACTCTCGCCTGCCATTCGCACGCGAGACCCGCGCGCGACGAGCAACCCGAGCGGGGAGCGGAGTGTCGGCCGAGTATTTCCCAATTCGAGAACTTGATCAGTTCCCAACTCTCCCCCTGACGTGCGGAGGGTCGTGGACAAAGATATCCCCTGCAGAAAACGAACTCGTAAAAAATTTAATAAGAAACGGAAGCTTCGGGAGAAGGAACTGTTCGTCGGAATTGAATTTTAATCGATCGTGGTGAAAGGGGCGAAAGACGTCGGGGTGGACGAAGGACGAAGAGAAGAGTGACATTCGCGCGAGGAGATTCGCGGGCGATCGAACGAGTACGCAGCAGCGTCGTGAAAAGGGTGAAAGAGAGAGGGAGGGAGGGAGGAAGGGAGAGAGAGAGAGAGAGAGAGAGAGAGAGAGAGAGAGAGAGAGAGAGTGTGTGTTCGATTAGTCTGGCGACGAGGTCGATCGGGCGAGGACGATGGCAGTGAGCGCTTTCTCGACGACATTGCACACCACCGATTTTGCCACTACGTGTCCCACTACACCCGGTATGTCGTAGAAGAGAGCTAAAGAGCGAGAGAGGGAGAGGGAGAGAGAAACGTACGGTTTTAGCGAGCGCGCGTGAAAGAGCAAGACGCTGCTGGCGGAATGGCGAGCGGCCTTCCTCGGCAATGCGCAATGTTGCTGGGCTTAATTGTGATTTTAATGGCAGCGCTCTGGACCGAGGCGTTGCTACCACCCGAAGACGAGGAGGACAACGTCCTGCACATCGGTGGCATCTTCCCTGTAGCTGGAGAGGGCGGCTGGCAAGGCGGCCAGGTAAGCGAAAGCTCGACGTAATTATTCTCCTTTCGTCTCAAATGTACGAACGTCACGAAGGAGGTAAACAAAGGAATGATTTGCTTAGTCATTAATGATGTCACATAAGATATTCAATGTCTTTTTATTTATTGTACGTAAACCGAGAAGGTGAAGACATTACAACTAGCTATGTACCTTTTTGCTTTAGATAATTCACTTAATGCTACGAATATGCTTCGAATTTGATTAATAAATGAAAAGAGGGAGTTTTACTAAAACTTTACTGATCAATTACAGAACACTTTAAAGCATTTGTAGGTATTAGGTGGACCATAGAGCCTATGAGATAGAATGTTGAGCAACTGGTAAACGAAAACGGAACCAACGTTCCGTTTCCAACGATTTGCTTGTCAAAATTAATCGATAAGGGTGATGATAGACCTGATATTTTCTTTGCCCGAAACTTTCATATCTGAGTTTTAACTTATCCTCTCAGAAGCCAAATCGATCGATTCCGTGGGAAAAAAATATAGAAAATTAAAAAAACATTACAAGCTAATTTTGTTCTCCGATACTAAAATTAAAGAACTCATGAGAGGAGTCAATCAATTTGACTTCTGAGAGGCCCCTTTTTGCATTTCACTCGCAGTGATAACCTTATGAACTCGGTAAGAGATATGATGAATATCCTTGCTCATTTTTAGATTTTTACATATATTTACGAAGGAAGATGAATTGTTACGCGACATCGTGATTGCTTGCAGCTTCCCTCGTTTCCTTTCATCCTCCCGTCTTACGTCTTTCGCTTCCTCGCACTCACGAATTGTTCGATAAACGACCTTGTGACATCGATAGCGGGAGCAAAATTTCCGAGAAACTTCACGAGCCGTTCCAAAACTTTAGAGATCGAATTCCAGAAGTTCTCTCATAACAGCGAGCAAGTTTACTCGTGGAGAAACATCTTTCTTTGCCCCGTGTTCAAAAGTCATGCGCGTCGAAGCGTTCTTAAAGCCAGAAAATCTCGAAGGATCGAGTAAAATCCTTAGCAAATTTAGTGAAGTACGCATTTCTCACGAATAGTTAAGATTTAAAAGCTCCTAGATTTGCAACGAAAGGATAACAAAGATAACAATAAGAATAGAGAAATCGCGGTTTAATAACTCGCTATTTTCACGTCATGATTATCTTCTGTCATAATTATCTCTTGTTGGAGATTATATTTTCTTTCATGTTGTTATTTGATATCCACGGTAATTTACAGAGAAAATTCTACATGAGATATTCATTACTTTTCGCTAATTCTCATTTAAATTGCAAATGCTTACTTTACAACATTGCGTTATTCTACGGCGCAATTACAATACATTATTAAATTCATATTGTTAAATTATACTCAATTTGAGTTATTTTTAATCATTTTTATAGATTGTCATTGCTCCATTATTCAATATGTCGTTAATTTAACTAAAACAATGGAGTTAAACGATTTAACATGAAATTATATTAAATTCGAGCCAAATTTAGTTTATTATATTTACTAAATGCATACGTTAATATAGACAGTGTTTACTACGAAACTAGCCACAGAAATGATTTACATTTTAACGCACATGAAAGTAAAAATGACAAAATTTAACTCAGTGGAATATGTTACGTTCTAGCAATGTATATTTAATTCATGCCTTACTTAAGAATTAAACGCAATATGATTTATGTATAAAAAAAAATAAAAGGGTGAATAATTTATATTTTAATATATATTTTTTTTTAAATAAACGAAGTAGTATTTAATTCACTTTACGATTAAATGCGATGGTAATCTATTCTTTTTACACGGTGCAAAGCTGATACGATCACGTAAAGTAATCTGCATATTCAATGAATTGTTCCATCCAAAAATTCTCCCACAAATTTACCGAAAAACTATTCAATTTCTGACAAACAAACAATTTTATAATTTTATTATTTTCATAATATGCACTTTTCGATGAGCACGAGGAAGCTTTAAAACTGTCTGCATAAATGAGCACTATTTATTCGACTAAAACCCGACCAACCCCAATTTGAATGCATTTTCACAAATATTCTCCCAGTATCATTTTAATACTGCGAAATTTTCCTGGCGAAAATAAAAATCGGTACGTAAGTCGAATGTAAAGGCAGAGTAACAGAAGTGTAAACGGAAGCTCTAGGAAGCATAAAAATTGAAACAGCGATAAAAGAGGCGTATACTTTTTAAAACACTTCTTTTACATTTTGGTGTTCCAATTTATGCTTCGTAGGACTCAACCGACTGTTCCCCTTCGATTTTAAAAAGCTTTGGATACGTTAAAAATATAGAAAAAGTAAAAAATTTTTTATAAGTGTTGAGTCGCATGTTAAGAGAATCCTCCCTTAAAAAAAATCAAGTAAAAGTTGATTAGTTTTAAGAGTACTCTATAATAATGATGAACAAATATTTTTAACAAAAATTTTTTATCTATAAAAAAAATTAAAAGTTTTAATCATTATTATTATAAAGTAAGTTTTTAAAATTATTCAACTTTTATTTAAAATATCCTTCTATATCTTTCACGGTTTAGTCGATATTTACTCGGAAAGAAAAAAAATTGATTTTTTTTAAAAAGTTTTATCCCTCTTAACGTACGAGTCAGCATTTAGAAAAAAAATCACATCTCTTATTTTTTTTTTGTCTATATTTTAACATATTCAAAGCTTATTCAAATTGGAAGGAAAGAGTTGATTGTGTCTTTTTGCTAGTTGTTTACGCTTCTGTTTACTCTCGATTTACGTTCCAATTTTTATCATTGCCACGAATATTTGCGTTGCAATCGCGTCCCACCTGCGAGAAATCTTTTAGCCACGAATAACGTGGCATTGCTTGTAATCCTGCATGCAAAGCCGGTTCATCAAATTAGGGGATTAATCAAGCTGAATTGCATTATCATTTATTCAACAGGCTTGCATGCCAGCTGCGCGTCTGGCCTTAGAGGACGTTAATCGCGAAAAGAACTTGTTACGCGGATATAGACTGCACCTCCATTCCAACGATAGCGAGGTAAACTCACGAAGATGCTTTTAATGGCATTATAATGATGGACGATGGTCACTGCCGCCGTCACCGCTGTCTTGCGCGATATATAAAATTACCTCTGTTATTTATTACATTACAGTGCGAGCCCGGCCTCGGTGCATCTGTAATGTACAACTTACTATACTTTCCACCCTATAAATTAATGCTGTTGGCTGGGTGCAGTACGGTATGCACTACGGTCGCCGAAGCGGCGAAGATGTGGAACTTGGTGGTGGTGAGTGGCCTATTCGTTTCTTTTTCCCCCTCCCTCAGTCGCGTTTATGTAAATCTCGTATTTCATCGCGATCGTATATTCCGTGGTATAATATGTATATAACAGATATATATGAGAACGTCAACGATATCCTTAGCTTTGCTACGGTGCATCGTCGCCGGCGCTGTCTGACCGAAATCGATTCCCGACCTTGTTCAGAACGCATCCTTCCGCCACTGTGCACAACCCCACGAGAATCAAATTGTTGCAAAAGTTCGGCTGGTCTCGGGTAGCGATATTGCAGCAAGCCGAAGAAGTATTTATATCGGTAAGATATAATCTCAAAAATATACTTCCCCAGAGATAACGTGCATGTCTAAAAAATGTCATAAAAATATTATAAAGACGTCTTTTGAAAACATACATATGTCTAACAGATATCTAAAAAACATAAAAAAAAGTCTTTTAGCTAGACAATATGTGTTGTCTAGGTTGTTAAGTTCATGGAAACTAAAGTGATTCAATTTTGCATGATGAATAAATCTAAGAAAATATATCTACAATCTTAATATATCTATCTTAATATATCTACAATCTACATAATATATATAATCTTCGAAAACAGAACTGGCCAGATTCAGAATTAATATTCTTATATGATTCGCCATTAGTATATAACTACGAATACATCTGACCTATCAAATTGTCCTAGACCGTCGAAGATCTAGAAGCACGATGTAAGGAAGCTGGGATAGAGATAGTTACCCGTCAAAGCTTCCTATCGGATCCCACGGATGCCGTGAAGAATCTACGTCGTCAGGACGCTCGGATAGTCGTCGGTTTGTTCTACGTCGTAGCCGCGAGACGGGTGCTCTGCGAGCTCTATCATCAGAAGCTGTACGGCCAGTCCTACGTGTGGTTCTTCATCGGCTGGTACGAGGACGATTGGTTCGAGATTAATCTGGAAAAGGAGGGCATCACCTGCACGAAGGAGCAAATGCGAATGGCAGCGGAGGGACATATGACCACCGAGGCACTTATGTGGAATCAGAATAACGACACGACAATCAGCGGCATGACCGCCGAGGACTTCCGAAAGAGATTGAACAAGTTGCTGAAGGATGACGGTTACGACATAGATAACGATCGATATCCAGAAGGATACCAGGAGGCGCCCCTCGCCTATGACGCCGTCTGGTCCGTCGCTCTTGGTGAGTTCCGAGCACACATGTGAAACCCAGCAAGTTGTCGACCAATAATCGTCTTATCGATCCTTCCTTCTTTGTCTCTACTATCAGCGTTCAACAGAACCATGGAAAGGCTAAGCAAGTTGGGGAACAGTTTGAAGAACTTCACTTACGAAAACAAAGAGATCGCCGACGAGATATACGCGGCGGTAAACTCGACCCAGTTTCTCGGAGTTTCCGTACGTAGAGCCTTAGCTAGAAAAAAATTGCTCGTTTGTTCACAAATTCTAAATATTAAAATGTTTTTCCCCACAGGGTCACGTCGCGTTCAGCTCGCAGGGTGATAGAATCGCTCTGACGCAAATAGAACAGGTGATTGACGGGAAGTACGTTAAATTAGGGTACTACGATACACAAAGTGACAATCTGACATGGCGAAACGTAGAGCGATGGATTGGCGGCAAGGTGCCGCAGGACAGAACAATAATAAGAAACGTTTTAAGAACAGTGTCACTGCCCTTATTCATAAGTATGGCGGCCTTGTCGGTGATCGGTATCATAATAGCCATCGGATTGATCGT